ATGTGGGGCAGTGTGTCTGTAACCTGGAGGGCTGTCTCTGGGGAAGCCAAAGACCCAAAGGGTGGTGGAGGCCAGACGTGGGCTTCCCTGGTGTGCGCAGCCATGAGCAGAAGCTTTCAGCCTCCAGGGCTGCACGTGTGGCACCTCTTGGGGTCTGCTCTCACAGGTGTGTGCACGTGCACATGCACTTGCTCCCCGTGTCAGTGGCCTGCCACGTGGTTGCGGTCAGGCTGCTGCCCTGGCGGTGGCAATGCTGCTCCTGTTGGATGTACCAGCTCATCCTGGTCCCCTGGATGCTGCGCAGCGAGAGCACTCTCCATCCAGCTCCAGCTTGACCCTTGGGCACTGTCAGCCCTCGTTGCCTCCATTGACCGCCCCTTGCTGAAGTGCTGACAGGCTGTTTGGGTGCCCCAGATCTGTCAGAGCCAGGCAGGCCTGTGCTCTCCCCCGTGTTGCAGTGACAGCCTCTCATTGTGCGCCTGCCCATCCTGGTTAGAACTGTACCTTGGGGCTGGGGAGCGGGGTTGGCCAGGCCAGGGCAGTGGGGGCTTCCTTCAGACTTTCCCAGCCTGGGAGATGCATGGAGACAGGGTCACAAGGGGGTGGTTGGAGAGGCTCTGAGCAGCAGCCGAGGCGTGCTCGGTGCTACCTGCCCCCCTCCCTTTGTTCGCACCTATTGTGTGCTGTGTGAGAGTGCTGAGAGCCCGGGAGTGCTGGGCGTGGGGCTTGCAGCATTGCGCAGGTGCCCAGTAGGGCATTGCAGGGTGGGCGCACTCAACCACTGCACGTCCCTCCAACTGTCCCTCCCTTCCAGGCCTTGTTTGCCTGCTTCTCCGTGGTGTCTCTGGCATGTGGCCCGGAGGTTGGAGCAACAGCCTACAACAAGCCCCATGTGCTCTGGTCACCGGGTGTTGCGGCGCTGCCTCTGTCTCCTGCAGGGCTCTGTGGATCCCCTTCCCATGAACACTTCTCGTGCATCTCACTGGATGGCAGGTGCTGATGGTGGCCTCATCTGGAGCGGTGCTGAGCATGCGCTGCTGCCTCTGCCTGCATGCGGCTGGAGGGGAGTTGGAGGCGAAGGGCTGCATGGGGTCTGCTTTGCCAGCCTTCGTCCTGCCCCCGGCCACCGCTGCGCACGGGGACGCAGGCATGGGGGGCCTGTCCCCGTGCTACTAGCAGTGCCATGGCTTGGGGCAGGGCAGGGCAGCAGGCGGTTCCCTGGGGGCAGCTCCAGGCAGGTGCTGTTGCTGGCTTCAGATGCCTCGCAGTGCTTCTCCAGCTCCCCCAGGCCTGACTGCCCTGCGGCACATTGTGTCCTGCCCCGGCACTAAAGCAGGCAGGGGCTGAGAAGCCCAGGCAGCCCCTGGCTGCTCCCCTGGCCCCTGCAGGGTACATGCATGAGGATCAATGTGGTCAGGGCAATGGGTGACCTGGTCTCAGCATGGGGCCCTGAGCTCCTGCCCTTTGGGTATGCAGGTCTGGAGCTGTGAGCTTCCTGCGGCACTGCAGCCGCATCCTGGCCCCAGCACCCTGTAGCCCACGGGGCAGTGGCTGTGCAAGGGCAGTTGCCAGCCCCCTGGGCTGTAGCAGCAGTTCACCAGCAGCCTCTGGCAGACGGCCGATCTTTTAATATGCCGGCAGGCAGGAGTCGTGCTGAGGACGCTGCTGCTCTGCTCCGTTGGGCGTGCCACGAGGCCAGCGGGGACCTGCCCGCGGAGGTCGTTAGTGGTAGAGCCTAGCCTGGCCCTCGGGAGCTGCTGGCCTGGCCAGGCCTCCCTCTTGCAGGCAGGTGTTGCCCTGGGGTCGCCCCGGCAGGGCTAGTTTCGTGGGCTGGGGGTGGGCGGATGCTGGCAGGGTCAGCAGTTGGCTAGTGGTTTCTAGTCCACAGATGCTCTTCAGGGCCTTTCTGCACTGCCTGTGGTGAAGAGAAACTAGCACCCCCTCGGGATCAGCGGGGAGGCGGGGGTCCCTGCCCCAGTCCCAGCTTTCTGCGCCCAGGTCGTGGGATCACAAGCAGTGCCGGGGGGGTCGCAGTAGCAGATGCTCGAGGGGGAATGGGGCTCATCCTGAGCGACCCACCGTCGTTGGCTGAGGATGTTGGAGGACACGGCCCCGATGGCTCTGTTGAATGGATCCCCGTGGTCCCCTCTTCCACAAACTCCTCTCACCCTTTTGGATCCTGCAGCCAGTTGTGCGGGTTCCCAGCGAGCTGCCTAGAAAGACTCTTCCTGCGTTAGGTTTAAACCTCCCTCCTGGTCATGTCAGTGCTCGGGGCTGCCTTAGGGTTCAGCTTCCCTAGCCTGCCGGCTGCTCGGCCCCTTCCCGTCTCCCCGGGGGGGTCTCTTGCCCCTGCCTGGAGTAGCTGTGGGGATGGGCTGTGGGCGCAGACAAGCGGCGGTGGGCAGCAGGATAGGTGCAGGGTCTGGGTGCAGCTGTGGGCGTCCCTCGCTTGAGGTTCCTGTGGTCGCTCCGAGAGAGTCCAGCTGTGACACCACATCTGGTCTGGGACATAGCCCCCCCTTGCCACCTCTCAGCCCAGGTGTCTTGCTGCAGGCCCCATCCTTGGGCGCTGGATGCAGGGCCCAGGGCTCCCGGGAGTCCCTGGCATGCACCCTTGGGGCCATGATGGGCCGGCTGTTTGGTGCAGTACGGTGCAGGGCTCCGGGATGGAGCCAGCGCGTGGGGCCAGTGTCTTGCGCTGATTGTGAGCAGGGTCACGTTTGCACCCACACGCGCCGGTGCTGCTGGCGCAGCCCCCTGCTTGCTCCAGGTCTCGCGGGCGGCCTGTGGGGGGAGCGCCCGGCCTGGAGCGGAGACAGGCGCTATCTGTTCTGAAAACAAGGCCGGGAGAGGGGAGCGCACAACAAAACAGGAAGCGCCTGAGCTCTCCTGACAGCCGAGGGGAAGCTGCAGGGGAGCAGCAGGAACACGGGGCAGGACAAGAAGAGGAAGCCAGGAACAAAGGGCAGACGAAGGCAGGGAGTTTGTTTGCACAAACAACTGTGTCTCCAGGCTGGGGTTGCCATGGGCTGCCATGAGGTTGCCATTGTGGCTTGCTGCGGGTCTCCCCCTCTGCCCGGCAGCCACGGTTATGCCTGCTCTCTGCGGTCTGCCCTGGTCCAGCTGCACGACCCCTGCTAAGCTGGGCCGCATCCCCACGGGCCAGGGCCAGGGGTGGGTAGCGCTCGGGCAGCAGCCTGTGTGCACCGCATGCACCGCCTCCCCAGCCTTGGGGCAGTGGCAAGAGCCAGTGTTGCCCTGTGGCCCCTCTGAGCCCCCTGGGCCCAGGGTCTGCGCTGCAACGGCCCTGGCAGCATCTCCCACGCTCAAGCAGC